GCTCTTCCCTTACCCTGCCTGTGCCACAGCTGGGAGACTTGCACACCTTCCCTCTCCATCTCCCCTTTCTAAATATTGCCTGATGGGTTGGTGCAGTTGCAGTGAGAAATCCTAATAGTCCAGGCCTACCCAGATAACACTTCCTCCAGGAAGTTGTCCTGATTGCTCCCTTCCCTCCTACCTCCAACCAGAAGTCTCTCCTTTGCACTCAATGTTTCCTAGAGCTGCTGTAACAAACTACCACAGACTGGGAGGCTTAAACAACAGAAATTTATTGCCTCACAGTTCTGGAGGCTGGAAGTCTGAGGTCAAGGTATTGATAGGGTTGGTTTCTTGTAAGGTCTCCTTCCTTGGCTTGGAGCTGTCCATCTTCTCCCCATCTTGTCTTCCCTCCACGAATGTCTATCTCTGTGTCCAAATTCCCCCTTCACATAAGAACTCTAGTTGTGTTGGATTAGGTCCCACCCTAATGACCTCATATGACTTAATTACCTATAGACTATCTCCAAATAAGGTCACATGCTAAGGTACTGGAGTTAGAACTCTAGCACAGCTTTTTCTTTGGGCGGGGGAGAGGCGCAGAATTCAATCCATAACAGATTCCCATGGCATCTTGACTTACACTTTTGGTGAACACTCACCGTTTTCTTCCCCCTGGAATGCATGCTCCTTGTGGGGTGAGAGCCTGGACATGACTGTATGTATTCTCTGGTGATGCCTACACTTTGTGCATACTCAGGAACACTGGAGTGAATGGGTAGTAAACACAGGCGCTATGGACCACTGCCATCATGACAGGTCTGAGTGTGTAACACGTGATCCTAGAAACACACGCCAGCAGGCGATGTGGCTGCCACTGCAGTCCGATGGAACCTGTGGAGGACCCTGCCAACCATCAGAAAAACATCTTTCCTACCAGGACCTGAAATGTTATCACTGACAAATAATGCTCCATGCCAGCTCTTTGTGATTCCTGATTTAAAACATAGGAGTGCCCCCCCCCCCCCAAGCACTGG